AGGGGAGAGATGAGCAGAGAAAGACACACACACATGCTGGACGCCGCAAAGGTGTCGTACAGAGCCTTGTTGTCAATGCTCTTGTCGAGATTCTGAGAAGGTTGGATGGGGTTTGGATGGGCTGGGTGGAAGGAAGGGGAATCATAAGGGGGTGGGAAAGGGAAGAAGCCAGTTTGACTTATGCTCTCGTCCATGGCAACGCAGCAGGAGAGGATTGAGCCGAACGATGCAAAGGTGTCGTACAGCGCCTTGTTGTCAATGCTCTTGTTGAGATTCTGGGGGGTTTAGATGGTTGGAAAGGGGTGATAGGAGGAGAAGGCACAGCTGACTCATGGGTCTGCACAACGCAGCAAAGGTGTCGTACAGAGCCTTGTTGTCAATGCTCTTGTCGAGATTCGGAGGGGGTTTGGATGAGTGGAAAGGGGTGATAGGAGGAGAAGGCACAGTTGACTCATGGGTCTGCACAACGCAGCAAAGGTGTCGTAGAGAGCCTTGTTGTCAATGCTCTTGTCGAGATTCTGGGGGGGCAGGGAGGGGGGGATGAGAGCAGGACACCACATGCAAACTATGAGTGCAAAAAAAACAAAAACAAAATCAGAGCTTTCACACCAATAGCGTAAGACTCCACATACAACTGCGAAGGCTGCCTAGACTATTTGTGCTGCAAACCTGGCAAAAACCGTGCTAATGCATGGAAATAATGCTGGTGCCGTTAAACTTGATGGCTGGATTCTCGTTTTTTTCTTCAAGTCGACAGCAGTGACTGAACCCACCTTGATAAAGATATTGCCGGTGCCACTGCGTCTAATGGAGGGATCCCGGTGCGAGAACATAATGCGCATGGGACGCCCCGCCACATTTGTGAAGTTAAGCAGGTCGAGCGCCCTTGCAGCTGCGAGCAGAAGGGGGAGGGGGAGAGGAATACGAGGGGTGAATGAGGGCAGGCTGATTGCGACAGTGCGACAACAACAGGCCCCACTTGTGAAATGCACATGGGGCGACCCGCCACTTGAGCAGAAGGGAGAGGGGGGACGGAGTTTGAGGCAGTTGCAGCCCGCACTTGGTGCTCGTGTATACAAGGGCAGGTTGCGACAGTGGGAGAGCATGGGACAGACACACGAGCATGATGCGCATGGCATGGGACGTGTCTGTCACCATCCTGGCTGCTGCTGCCTTGTATTGAGGGCGGGCTGATTGCGACAGTGCGACAACAACAGCATGATGCGCATGGCATGTTACGTGTCTGTCACCATCCTGGCTGCTGCTGATGTTGACACACGAGCATCCCAGCGATCAGTGTAAGCTTATGTATGTGCGCGTGTGTGCATGCTTGCATAGGTGAATTTGCCAGAACAAAACTAAAACACGCACCATCCTGGCTGCTGCTGAAGTTGACATAAGAATACCCCAGAGACTGCCGTGTGACCATGTCGCGACACACGCGGATGGAGGCCACTGGGCCCACCTGGGGGGAGCGAGGGGGGAGAGAGGGGGGGAGGGAGAGGGGGCTGAGACATAGATGTACGTTCTAAGTCGAGTGACACTGACTGACAGAGATTGCCGCATGACCATGTCGCGACACACGTGGATGGACGCCACTGGGCCCACCGGGGGAAGAGGGCCGGAGAGGGGGAAGTGGGGGGAGAGCAGGAGAAGCGGAGGGAGAGAGGGAGAGGCGGAAAGGGGGCATCGAGGCTGAGAAGAGGCATTGCAGAGGTCTCAACTCCATGCAATCGAAGGAGACTCACCAAATTGAACCATTCATGACTCATCCACTCACGTGCTTCCCAGTCACCTGCTTCCCAGTCACCTGCCTCGCAGTACCTGGGAGAAGCGGTCGAAGGGCTGAGCCTCCGTGAGAGGTGAGGGATGGGGATGACGGGGGTTGAGGGTCCGGGGATCGTGCATGACTCACCCCGTAACCTGTTGCCTCCCAGTGACCTGATTCGCAGTACCTGCGAGAAGAGGTCGAAGAGCTGCGCCTCCGTGACGCTCGCATCGAGATCGCCCACGTAGAGGGGATCGGGAAGGGAGGGCGGTTCATGTTTGCAGTGCAGTACCCGCCTCCTAGTAACCTGCCTCTCAGTAACCTGCCTCCCAGTACCTGCCTCTCTCCCAGTACCTGCGAGAAGAGGTCGAAGAGCTGCGCCTCCGTGACGCTAACGTCCAGATCGCCCACGTGGAGGGATGGGGAAGGGGGGGCGGTTCAAGTTCACCTGGTTTGCAGTGCGGCACCTGCCTCTCAGTACCTGCCTCTCTCCCATTACCTGCGAAAACAAGTCGAATAGCTGCGCCTCTGTGACGCTAACGTCCAGATCGCCCACGTAGAGGGACGACGACGCGAAGGAGGGCGCGGAGGGATTCGCGGACGACGGCGACTGCGCCACCCCTGATTCGTCCACGTCAGCGCCCTCCGCGCCGCTCGCGCTGCTCGGAAGCGGCTGCTCCTGCTGCGACATGGTTCTGGTGTGAGGGGCCCGGCGGGGAACGGGGGGCAGGTGGGGGGTTGGGGGGAAGCGGGGAAGGGGGGAATGGGGGGAGGGAGGGTGGGGGAAGCGTGTTGAGGGGGAAACGAAAGCAAAGAGGCGTTCGAGTAGACCTAAGCGGCTGCTGACTTTTGAGTCGACTCAGAAGTCGACCTTTGAGTCGACTCAGAAGCGTGTTGAGGGATAAACGGAAGCAAAGAGGCGTTCGAGTAGACCTAAGCGGCTGCTCCTGCCGCGACATGGTCCTACCGTGCTAGGAAGGAGTGGGGTGGAGGAGTAGAGAGGTTAGTCGTCAAGTTATTATAGATCTCAGACTGAGTAGCTACTCCTTCTGATGCGAAATCGTCCAGGGACGGCGAAATAAGAGGTGCAATTTCACGTAGAGTCTTTGAAAAACTAGAAATGAGGCTGCAACTCCTGATGCAAGATGGTCCTGCGACGAAAGGTTATGAGGCTTTATCAAGAAGAAAGGCAACAGCCCGAAATTACTCCGCCTCCCTACACACCCCCCACCCTTCATGCTTCCCACACTTCACCCCCCACCATTTCCAAACCGGATCCCTGGAGGGGGGTTAAGAATGGGCGTATTGTAAGATATGTATATGAATAAAACCCAAAGGGAACCGAGGTTGGAACGAGGAAAGCCGTTTGAGTGGAGTTGATAGTCACTTCGCTGGGATCTTAGCCTGCAGCTCCAAATTCGCAGGCTATCTACTCACGAGAGCCGTTATCCCTTCACGAGAACCGTTATCTATTCACGAGAGCCGTTATCTATTCACGAAACCCTATCCAGCAAATCAGCGATTCAGCCATTCAGCCATTCACGAAACTTAACTTAAACCAGCACAACTGACAAATATCAATCGATCGGCCGCCAGATCAGGAATGGGAGACGGATCTAGTTGAACCGAAGAGACAAGGGAGTTTAAAGAAACCATCGCTTAAGTATAGATCACTTTTGAGACGTCTCAGAAGCCGATTATAGATCAAAGGCAGACAAACTGGAACGGCGGGGATCTATTAAAGCACATACTCGATCATGTGGCCGAAAAAATGTTTTATCATCAGCAAATTTAAAGCGCTGATGAACAGACATACAGAAATGGGAGAGTGAAAAAGAGAAGGGTAAAGCGGCGGAGCTAGGGAATCGCAAAGCTAGAACCGTACACGTTACGAGAGCTGGAGAATAATGGGGAGAGACGCGATCGGCCCGGCAATGCGGGAGGAGTCGATCCGGAGGAGCCTTTAACGGCGATCCGAGGCCTGAATCGGATCCACCGCAGATACTATAGTTGCTGCGCTGTTAGGCGAAGGGATACACTAAGTAGGCCCAAATAGTAGCTAGGTCTAAGAACCGACACTACACTTCCCAAGTTCCCACCCAGAACTCTGTGGGGAAAAGGGTAGACTGGGGAAAGAAGGCAAGAATTTGGGGAAATGCCTCCCTCGGCGTACGCGTTAGAAGGTGATGCGCGAATCGTTGCAAGCGCGATTGGATACGTGTGGTGGATGAGTGTATCCTGGGAGATGGTGGTGCTGTCCCACCCAGCGTGGAGCAGCACATCCCAGGATCTAGAAAACGGGTGCTCCCATACTATCCGACTCACTAAATTTGTATGCTGCAAACATAATAACACAGTAGTATATTATACATTACTTCATATATTACATTCTATCCTTATTTATGCAGGTGTAACTTGGGCACGCCAACTCGCTGCAATCATAACCGTGCACAGAGTGCATTCAAGATTCAGAAACATGAAGTATACATTTTTTACTGACAGTAACATACATCATGCTTTTACAATATCATAGCCTGTTCTAAAATTGGAACATGGCTTGACCATATAGTCATATGGATTACTTTTAGTATGCCTTTCCCTCTGAATTTCAATATGAATTTGAACCTAGAATGTTCGAATTTGTAGTCATAATAATGCTATATGTTAGTAACGAACAGCATGACGGCCCAGCTCCAGGAAATTGGCTCGGGCTGACGTGGCTCCTCATTAATCGCCACGCGAAATCTTCGAAACGAATTGCCGCTCGTAGTTCCAGCTGACGCGTCACCCTTTTAGATTTCTTGCGGTTCGGCGCAATCCCTGTCCACTGTCCGCTCCGCATCGAACAGGTAGCACACGCAAATGGGGGGAGAGCGCCCTGTACTCAGCAGCCCTGGCGCAGGCAGTCGTAGAGACCCCGCCATGTCCTGCAGCGCGGGCGCGTCCATGTTATCCCTCAGGATTACCGCGATTGGTTGCCTGACTGACGTGGAAGCCTGGAAGATTGGAAGCTTGGAAAGCTAGAAAGGATTGCGTGTGAATCAGGACTACTAAGTCCTGAAATTCCACTTTTCAAAGCCATTTTCTGTTTGGCATTCTTCCCCGCTTGGCAAGAAGAATCAGGCGTTAGGTGTCCGATTTCCTCCCAATATTTCTTCAATCTTCGCTGAGTACCGTTATTTTCAGCTTAGCCTGCTCGTATTTCGAGGAAAAGTAAGGAGATTGTTCAGCCATGGCCGCCATTGCCAAGTGCGCCGTGCCTTCCTTCACCGGCCTGAGGAAGAACCAGACCTCCCAGGCTTCCACCAAAGCCTCCTCACAGCAGACTGTGAAGGCGAAAGCCTTCGCTGTCCGCGCGGTTGCGGAGCCGGCCGCTAAGAAGCTGACGATCGAGGAGGCCGAAGCGCGCGTGGTCGCGGGGAATCCCCCCCCTGCTCCTCCCGCCAAGCGTCGCCCAGCAGCTCCCAAGGGGACGCCTATCGTCGAGCCGCTGGTCCGTCTCCTTAGCAGAGAAGCTATCGTTCTTGCAATCAATCCGATGTCGACTTCAACGGTTGCGAATTGGCTCTTTCGTAGTCGTCAACGTCTTTTGACGCTGTTTTATCCAATGCAGACGCAAAGACGTTATTAGCGAAGGTTTGTTGGCAGCGCTATTGTCTCCAAGTGCTGGGTTGGAGGGGAATGAAGAATCGAGGACCACATTGGTGGAATGTTGACGTAAAAAACGCGTCTTTTGATCCTGAGCGTACGGTACTTGATATCACCTCGATGAAGTACCGAGACCCAGGCCCAGGTGGTGAAGTGTGACATCGTGCTGTACATGGCCGCCGAACCTCGTCGAGTCCTCGTCGCAACCGCTGGTGTAAGGTAGTGACGCGTTCTAATACTAGGCTTGTGCTGTGTGTGGGTGGTGTTGGCCTGGCAGAACCTCATCTCGATACCTCGTCGCAACAGCCGGTGTAAGGTAGTCATGCGTCCTAATAATAGACTTGTGCTGTGCGTGGTTGGTCTTGGCAGAATCTCATCTCGAGGCCTCGTCGCAACCGCCGGTCTCCGATCCTGAGGGAGGCATTCCAGGAAACCTTCGTCACTCCCGCCAACTTCATCCTTCCCCTCTTCATCCACGAAGGTAGGGGTTGGACTGTCGTGTGAGGGGTGATTGGCGCGTGCTGAATTGTGGTGGGGTTGGTTGAGGTATGTTTTCGTATTACGACCTTCGTCACTCCCGCCAACTTCATCCTTCCCCTCTTCATCCACGAAGGTGAGGGTTTACTTGGGTGTGAGTGTGATTGGCGCGTGCTGAATTGTGGTGGGGTTGGTTGAGGTATGTTTTCGTATTACGACCTTCGTCACTCCCGCCAACTTCATCCTTCCCCTCTTCATCCACGGAGGTGAGTGCTAGATGGGTGGCGATTGCAATCTTGGCATGTTTCCATAAAGAACCAATAAGATTCCCACCGAATTCTTGTAACCCTCGTATGATTTGTTTATTACACCTTTATCGAATTTTCGTCCGATTCTTGTCAGGCTCTCATAATCTTCTCACTCGACTTTGATCAGATTGTCATCATCTTCTCCCCCTTTTCCCCTCACCTCGCCGTGGACCCCTCTCCCATTGGCTCCATGCCGGGATGCTACCGCCTCGGCTGGAACACGGGGCTCATGTCCTCCCCCACAACCATCCCCAACCCCGACCTCAACCCCACCCCACTCCCCCCTTTCCCCCTTACCTCGCCAGGCGTGGACGCCTCTCCCATTGGCTCCATGCCGGGGTGCTACCGTCTCGGCTGGAACACCGGGCTTATCGAGGAGGTGTACAAGGCGCGTGACGTGGGAGTCAACCAAGTCGTGCTCTTCCCGAAAGTCCCCGACGCTCTCAAGGTGAGCCTCTTTCGCACCTGCGTGCATGGTGTTTGCAACTTGTTTGGACCCTTCCGTGCGGGCTAACCTGCTGCACTGCATGCCTGAAAAAAATCCTTGGTAGTTTTCGACTTGTGCTGACGTGGATGCGGTTCCCTCGAACGTGGCGTACAGTCCCAATGGCACTGATTGGACAGTCGGTGTTGTCACAATGTTCCGAACTGCCTCTCCTCTCGCGCTATGAGTGCATGCCTTGCCTGTTCACAAGGTTCTGTCTGTGTTCCCTTAACATCGCAGCATCCGCCTCCTCTCGCGCTTTGAGTGCATGCCTTGCCTGTTTACAAGGTTCTGTCTGTGTTCCCTTAACAACGCAGCATCCGCTCCGCCTGCTCAAGGACAAGTTCCAATCTGCCTGTGCTCACGTGCTGTGCTGTGAATGCGTGCCCTGCGTTTTTGTGTGTTTCCCACAGACCCCCACGGCCGACGAGGCGTACAACCCAGACGGCATTGGTCCCTGCAGCATCCGCCTGCTCAAGGACAAGTCCCCCCCCACCCCCCAATTCTAGTGCTTGATCACATACCTCGTCCGTTTCACACGCTTTTCCTGCAGACCCCCACGGCGGACGAGGCGTACAACCCTGATGCCATTGTTCCCTGCAGCATCCGCCTGCTCAAGGACAAGTCCCGCTCCTGATTTCAGTGCTTGATCACATACCTTGTCTGTTTCACACGCTTTCCTGCAGACCCCCACGGCGGACGAGGCGTACAACCCAGACGGCATTGTTATGCGTAGCATCCGCCTGCTCAAGGACAAGTTCCCGGACCTGGTACGTGCTCCTGAGATGCGTGAGTTGATAGGCAGCCATGCAATTTACACGTGATGGTACACCTTCAATCACAGCATCCGCTTGCTCAAGGACAAGTTCCCCTGCTCAAGGACAAGTTCCCCGACCTCGTGAGTGCTGTTAGGATGCGGAGATGGTAGAAAGCTATGCGTTTCGTTTCTTACGAAGCACCCTTTTGCTCGAGGACAAGTTCCCCGACCTCGTGAGTCTCGTGAGGTCACTCTTTCTACCAACCAATGGCCCGTCTTCTGAAACGTGCTTTCGAAACGGAGGATTCGCCTGCTCGAGGACAAGTTTCAAAACCTAGAGTCATTAGCTTCACTCTAAAGTGTTCATTCTTCGTTAGCAAGAATAATACGGTTCTGGAATTCAGTCGTCAGTTTCATCTCGAGGCAAGTGTTCATTCCTCGCTAACAATCATAGCACGCTTCTGGAATTCAGCCTTTAGATGCATCGTGCTCGTCCGCCACTCCCTCTCCCTCCCACCACCACCTTACTTACTCTCACTCTCTCTCTGCAACCCTCTCCCTATCCACCCTTGCCCTTTCCCCTTTCCTCTCGTCCACCCCCCGCTTTGGTGATCTCACCGCTGTGCTGCTGACGTGGCGTCTATCCAGATCATCTACACTGACGTGGCACTGGACCCGTACAACTCGGACGGCCACGATGGCATCGTGAGGGAGGATGGAGTGATCATGAACGACGAGACTGTGCACCAGCTGTGCCTGCAGGCCGTGGCTCAGGTATGCTTATATCGAATCAGCTCATAACGAATATAGCCACTTTGTGAGGGAGGATGGTGTGATCATGAATGGTGAGACAGTGCACCAGCTGTGCCTGCAGGCCGTGGCGCAGGTATGTGTATGTCAATATCGAGTCAGCTTATAACGAGGATGGTTGGCTTGGTAGGGAGGAGGATGGATGGTGTGATCATGAACGACGAGACGGTTCACCAGCTGTGCCTGCAGGCCGTGGCCCAGGTGTGTTTATATCGAGTTAGGCCCAGGTATGTCTATATCGAATCAGTCTACAATGAGGATGGTTGGGTTGTTAGGGAGGATGGAGTGATCATGAACGACGAGACTGTGCACCAGCTGTGCCTGCAGGCCGTGGCTCTGGTATGTCTAATTTGAATCAGCTTATATGGATCATGATGGACGGCCATATGGCTGCCATCCGCGCTGCTCTTGCTAACCCACATCCAACCCCTCCCCCACCCTCTCCCTCCCCCCCCCATCCCTCTCTCCTTTGTTACAAACGCGTGCAGGGGCGAATGTGATGAGCCCGAGTGACATCATGGACGGCTGTGCTGGCGCCATCCGCGCTGCTCATGCTACCCCGTTCCCATACCCCCTCTCCTTCCCCCTCCCCCCCCCCCCTCTCCCCCCCCCCCCCCACCCGCCCTCTCGCCCCCTCTCCCCTGTTCCAGGCGTGTGCGGGAGCTGATGTGGTGAGTCCGAGTGACATGATGGACGGCCGCGCGGGGGCGCCACCACTCGTGCTCATGCTACCCCACACCCAACCCCCCAACCTCCCCCCTTCCTCCCCCCAATCCCCCTCTTCCCACAGGCGCGTGCGGGAGCTGATGTGGTGAGTCCGAGAGACATGATGGACGGCCGCGCGGGGGCACCACCACTCGTGCTCATGCTACCCCACACCCAACCCCCCAACCTCCCCCCTTCCTCCCCCCAATCCCCCTCTTCCCACAGGCGCGTGCGGGAGCTGATGTGGTGAGTCCGAGAGACATGATGGACGGCCGCGCGGGGGCACCACCACTCGTGCTCATGCTACCCCACACCCAACCCCCCAACCTCCCCCCTTCCTCCCCCCAATCCCCCTCTTCCCACAGGCGCGTGCGGGAGCTGATGTGGTGAGTCCGAGAGACATGATGGACGGCCGCGCGGGGGCACCACCACTCGTGCTCATGCTACCCCACACCCAACCTCCCCCCTCCCCCCTCCCCCCCCCCCCAATCCCCCTCTTCCCACAGGCGCGTGCGGGAGCTGATGTGGTGAGCCCGAGTGACATGATGGACGGCCGTGTGGGCGCCATCCGCTGCTCATGCTCTCTGTTCCCTCCCCCCCGTTCCTTCCTCCACCCCCAACCCCTCTCCCCTACAACAGGCGCGTGCAGGAGCAGACGTGGTGAGTCCCAGTGACATGATGGACGGCCGCGTGGGCGCCATCCGCGCTGCTCATGCTCGCCCTTGTTCTCTCCCCTGTTCCCTCCTTTCCCACCCTGGCAACCCCTTTCCCTTCCCCTACAACAGGCGCGCGCAGGGGCTGACGTGGTGAGTCCCAGCGACATGATGGACGGCCGTGTGGGCGCTGGTGCCATCACTTGTGCTCATTCTACCCGAAGCCCTCCTCCCCTCCCACGTGCCCCCCTCTTCCCTACTACAGGCGCGTGCGGGAGCCGATGTGGTGAGCCCGAGTGACATGATGGATGGCCGAGTGGGCGCCATCCGCGCTGCTCTGGACGAGGAGGGCTTTAACGAGGTCTCCATCATGTCTTACACCGCCAAGTGAGTGCTTATAGGGGGGGGGACACACTGCCAAGTAGGTGCTTATATCGGGATCCTACTCATATTTGGACGAGGAGGGCTTTAACGAGGTCTCCATAATGTCCTACACCGCCAAGTGAGTGCAGAAAAGAGAGGGGGTTACACTGCCAACGGGAAGGGCTTAACGTGAAGGGCTTTAACGTGAAGGGCTTAACGTGAAGGGCTTAACGTGAAGGGCTTAACGTGAAGGGCATTAACGTGAAGGGCTTTAACGTGAAGGGCTTTAACGTGAAGGGCTTTTAACGATGTCTCCATCATGTCATACACCGCCAATTGAATCTATTTATTGCATCCCTCCCGATCCCTTTGCATCTACGGCCCCTCCAGAAAGCCCTTTACCTAAATCCCCTCCATGCTGATACCACTCTCACCATTCTCAACCGCTCTGCACCCCTTTGCACGCCTCCCTCCCCCCCCTCCTCTCCATCTCCCCCTGCAGGTACGCGAGTGCCTTCTACAGCCCCTTCAGGGAAGCCAGTGATTTCACCTGCCCGCCCTGCTGTAACCACTTCCACCATTCTCAACCCCTCTAAATTCCTTCTCCCTCCTCTCCATCTCCCCCCCTCCACAGGTATGCAAGTGCCCTCTATGGCCCTTTTAGGGAAGCCCTCCAGTCCAACCCCTGCTCTGCTGTAACCACCGGACCACCACCACCCTCAACCGCTCTGTATCCCTTTGCCCTGTTTCCCTCCTCACCTTTTTCCCCCACACCACAGGTACGCGAGTGCCTTCTATGGCCCATTCAGGGAAGCACTCGACTCCAACCCCCGCTTTGGTGACAAGAAGACGTAAGTCCAATATACGCCCCCTTGCCTGCCCCACTGTGCCTCTTTGCCTGCCCCATTGTGCCTCTTTGCCTGCCCCACTGTGCCTCTTTGCCTGCCCCATTGTGCCTCTTTGCCTGCCCCACTGTGACTCCTTGCCTGCCCCACTGTGCCTCTTTGCCTGCCCCACTGTGACTCCTTGCCTGCCCCACTGTGCCTCTTTGCCTGCCCCACTGTGACTCCTTGCCTGCCCCACTGTGACTCCTTGTCTGCCCCACTGCTCCACTCCACCTTGTCATTCCCTCCCCACCCTACAGTCCACCCTCTACCCCTCCTATCCTCCCTTTTGAGCGCGTTCTTGTGCGTGTGGTAGTATGCTTCCTTGTGTATTATATTTCTTCTGATCATGCCTGGCTGCTTAGTATTTCCTGGATGTATGTAATCCTGTTGCTCACGTCCCCACCCCATACCAATAGGTCCCAGATGAACCCTGGCAACTACCGGGAGACTCTTCTGTTTCAGTTGACCCCTCACGCCTCTGTCCCATACGCTCCTGTCGTATCATCACACCCCTACCCCATGCCAACAGGTACCAGATGAACCCTGGCAACTACCGGGAGGCGCCCATTGAATTCCGCGCTGACGAGAGCTTGTGATTTCATCTGATCGCGCACTCCCCTTGCCCATGACCCCACCCCGACGCCCAATCATCACACCCTTTCCCCTGCATCAACAGGTACCAGATGAACCCTGGCAACTACAGGGAGGCGCTCATTGAAACCCACGCTGATGGGTGCTTATGTTGTCCCCATGTCTGCTACCCACATCTGCTGATAAGCCGTTCTGCTGCCCGTGCCCCGTAACCCCATGCCAACAGGTACCAGATGAATCCTGGGAATTACCGCGAGGCACTCATTGAAACCCACGCTGATGAGAGTGAAGGCTCTGATATCCTCATGGTGAGTTTTATTAATTGTAGGAAAGAGGCAGGAAGGAAGGAGGATTTAATCAAGGAGGGGAGGGGATGAGAGGCTTCCATTGTGGGGAGGGTAGGGGGTGGGGATTTTGGGGAGAGGAGGGATGGGAGGATTAGACTGTGGGAAGCACAATGAACCCTCCCAGATGTCGGGCGAGTATGCCATGATCAACACACTCACTCACTCCCTCCCCTTCTCCTTTTCCCTCTCCCTGTGTTGCCTGGCACCTGTTGCCTGCTGCCATGCTGCTCTGTTGCCTGTGTCCCCCACAATCCCCACATCAGGTCAAGCCCGCCATGCCTTACCTGGATGTGATCCGCCTCCTCCGTGACAACACAGCGCTGCCCATCCCAGCCTGTGTGATTATTGGGACCTCACCTCGCTTCACTCCCCTGCTGTCCTCCCCATCACAATCCCCCGACCAGGTCAAGCCCGCCATGCCTTACCTGGATGTGATTCGCCTCCTCCGCGACAACACAGCGCTGCCCATCTCAGCCTACCAGGTGTCGGGCGAGTATGCCATGATCAAGGCAGCAGCAGCCAATGGGTGGCTGGATGAGAAGATATCAGTTCTCAAGCCGCACTCACTTCCTCCCTTCCCTTCTTCTCCGTGTTGCCTCGCAACCCTGCTGCCCTGCTGCCCTGCTGCCTGTGTCCCCACAATCCCCCGACCAGGTCAAGCCCGCCATGCCTTACCTGGATGTGATTCGCCTCCTCCGCGACAACACAGCGCTGCCCATCTCAGCCTACCAGGTGTCGGGCGAGTATGCCATGATCAAGGCGGCAGCAGCCAATGGGTGGCTCGACGAGAAGATATCAGTTCTGAGCCGCACTCACTCCCTCCCTTCCCCTCTTCTCCGTGTTGCCTCGCAACCCTGCTGCCCTGCTGCCCTGCTGCCTGTGTCCCCACAATCCCCCGACCAGGTCAAGCCAGCCATGCCTTACCTGGATGTGATCCGCCTCCTCCGCGACAACACAGCGCTGCCCATCTCAGCCTACCAGGTGTCTGGCGAGTATGCCATGATCAAGGCTGCAGCAGCCAATGGGTGGCTGGACGAGAAGAAGGCGGTTCTTGAGTCTCTCCTGTGCATCAAGCGAGCTGGTGCTGACGTCATCCTGACGTATTTTGCCGTCCAGGCTGCGCAGTACCTGGCTGGGGAGAGAAAATAGAGGACGGGCAGGCTGCACGGGTTCTGCTGTTTTTGAGGGGATTTGGAAATCACCTGGCCAGAAAAACAAACAGAGACTGCTGGGAAATGGATAAGAAGTAGGGCTTAATGTGGAGTTTGTGTGATCATCGCCTATTGGATGAATCATTGGAAGTTATCAACATAAATTCTTCAGTAGCTTACTGGGGCACGCGGCGGAACGCGTGATGCTGTACACCCGTGACGCTGTATAGAGGTTATTGTGATTTTAACGAGGCACGTCATTGGCAACCCCGCCATTGTGTCGGGGTGAAAAGGTCAAGCACATATCTCAGTCACATCCAGAAAAATCCATCCATCGCGCCAACGGCCTAGCGAGTCAGCTCAGCGACTCCCTGCGGCAAACGCAGCACACATGATGCTAAGTCGAATCGCAGACATCTGCTCAGCCCAAACGCGACGCCGTCCCTTTCACGTTTGGTGACGGGCAACCGCCCGTCATGTACAAGCCCTCGCGGCTCGGGAAGATTCGGAAAGTAGACAACGAGTGGTTGGGAAGCTCCGACCTCCCACTTGCATCCCTGATTTCCGATGTACAACAAACGTTGCCACCCAGAACTGTAGCGGTAAAAATATCTGCGTAACAGTGGTGTTCTTTACAGTCCCTTTTCTGCCCGTGGCGAAATTGACGAAACGCTCGCGAATTAGATGCTCGCTTCACTCCCCCGGTGTCGAAAAAGATGGCGTGAGTGAAACGGGCATCATGTGCACCACCACCACACGACCTTTGCCTTGACTTCGCAAAGTAACCAATAATGCACTGTCGAGCGCGTCGCACAGCACAGCTGAACATTGTCCGCCACACGTAGTGGATTGATCGCGACAGTGTTGTCGAGCTCATACCACAAAACCCAGTTGTCAGGTATCGCACCGCGAGTACAGTCAGCCACAAATGCCACTGACCTGACGTGCCTCGGTGAGATATGGACATGACGTGTACATTATCCTCGCGCGGTTCTTGCTTTCGTATTGGTTTACTGCTCGATATGACGTGTTGTTGAGAGAATCTTTCAGAGTTACCAGTTTCGCAACTCTCGTTAGAGCCCATTTTAACCAATAGGTGACACTGGGATAAAGAAATTGCCGTGGCACACGCCTCAGTCAGAAAGTTCGAGACATGTCCATCTTCCCCCCACCAAACTCCTCCGTCATTTGGAGCGCACATCTGACGTTCGAAAACCGTTTTGTTGCTGCTCGGCAGTAGTACCTATCTTCAAGGATAGGTCTCGGTAGATTCACTCGCAAAACTTCCCTCGCAAACACGAGCCATTTCAGCCTACACACGGCACGCCGAGCTCAATACATTTTATTTTTTTACGATCGCTCGGCACTAAAGCTCCTCCTTAGCAAACGCCTGATCTCCTATGCTTTGCTTAGTGCTGCCGTCCACTGCTTGACATCCACGCGCTGCTAGATCTAGGCAAGTAGTTATGGGTCTGTAAAAACTTTCAAAAGCCTGATCACCAGCCAGGCCAATTACTCGTTCTTAGATTTTACGTTCCAGCTTTTTGCTGTCCATTTATTCGTTCTTAGATTTTCCGTTCCGCTGGTGAAGCGGGCTCAGGCACGACCTATTCTCTCCAAATCCTCATTTGTCCTTCTTTCGACCACTCAACGTTTTTCATCGATATCGTGAAGTCAGATTAGCGCAGTCTGTACTCTTTGACCGCAGTAAAGTAAATAAATCCGGACCTCCATATTTTGGCAATCATGTCTCACGACGATCACGACATCAACGAGAACGTTTCCAGCGACGCGTTCTCTGGTAACCGCTGCCCGATTTCGCAACCGGGTCCTTCTCACCCTCCGCAGTCCCCGCCGCCCGGCATGCTCAACTGCTTCGTAACGGCCGTACCAACTTGTACCGGGGAGCGCTATACCGGGTACCCGCAAAGCGGGTTCCAGCAGCAGACCAGTACCGCTGGAACTGCACACCTTCCTCTCCCCGCCATGCCGCAATTGGGCGGCGAATTAAATCTAGCTCCATCCAATCAGCTCGCGTCATTCTGGCAGTATCATTATCCGCGGGCCGCGCTTTCGCTCTCCGCGTTCCGACACCGTCAGCATGGCGACTCGCATTCAAACGGCACTATCATCTTCGCCTCGCAGATCCCGGCATGCTTCTCCCGCAAAGCCTCGTATATCCCGGCCGAGAATCAGACGGCGCTTATCCCTGCAGAGAATCAGACGCCGCAAATCCCGGCCGTCCTGCCCTGTTCTTCTCCCGCCGAGAGCCACTCATTGCAGCCGCCGATTCAGCTCTCCACGAAAAGGCGACGCGCGAATCTGGCCGGCGCTTTTATTGCGCCTCAGAATCCTTTTGAGGCGCGTCAAAACGCAATCATTGCGCCTCACCATCCTGCCGTCCCGCCGCAATCATCGCCGGGTTTTCCGCTGGATCGTGACCCTCTCGTCGCAGTATCGCGGCCGCCGTTCCCTGCCGGCGGGAATCCAGCAACAACGAGTGACTGTAACGAGGGCGAGATTTCAGAAACAGTACCTGCTGCTGCCGCTGCCACTGCTGCCACCGCTGCTGCTGCTACCACGACTGCTACTGCTGCTACCACGACTGCTACTGCTGCTACGGAATGCCGCTGCATACGCTCCCCAGGTTCGCCGGCGCGACTCGAGTTTGACCTTAACTTGCCAGCGGCGGAGGCGGAGGAGGAGCAAGAGGCGGAGCAAGAGGCGCAAGACGCGCACGCGGTGGTGCAAGAAGCGCAACTGGCGCATCTGGCGCAAGCGACGCGAGAGGTACAAAGGACGGATGTAGCGCAAGGGTCACAACGGGCGGAATGGGCAGAGGGGCAAAACGCGGAGGTTGCTGCTAGGGTTCCAGGGAGTGGAGCAAGGGAGGGTTTGTTGGGAGGAACTTGGGTGGGTATCGCTAATGCTGATGCTGGTGGTGCTGCTGGTAACAGTAACGCTGCTGGTAACGGTGGTTCTGGTAACGGTGCTGCTGGTAATGGTGGTTCTGGTAACGGTGGTTCTGGTAACGATGCTGCTGGTAACAGCAGTGGTATTCCCGCGAGTAATGATGACCACAGCTGTGATGCCAGCACAGTCAGCAACGGGACTGGTAGCTGCGAAGACAGCAGTGACAGTGACGTCAGCAGCTACAGCACGGGGGAGAGTAATGATGATGGTAATGATGACAATGATGACGATTGCGAGTCGGAGAGTAGCTGCGCGCTGAGCTGGCAGCAGGTGATTGGTGAGAGCGACGGGGAGAGCGAGCGGGAGGGGGGGAATGGAATGGAAGGAGAAAGTGGGCGGTGGGAGGATGCGGGTTGGATGGTGAAGGATGGAGAGGGGTTGAGAGAGAGGGGTGCGGAGGTGGGTTTGGAAATGAGAGCAGCAGAGGACGGGGGTGGGAAGATGGTTTGTTGGAGAGGGGAAACAGTGGCAGCAGCAGCAGCAGCAGCAGAGGGAGCAGCAGCTGGAGCCGAAGCTGAGGTAGCAGTGACAGCAGCAGGTGCAGCAACAGCAGCAGTCGTGGGTGGGATTGGAGGGGGCCAGCAGGAGGAGTATACAGACGAAAGAGGTGGTATCAGGTGCATTCAATGGTTGTGATGGGTATAGGGTGGTGGTGGGAACATAATTGTTGGGGAGGGGATGGATAAGAGGAGGGATTGGGAAATGAGGAGGTGACTGGCAGTTATTTGGGGCAACTCCTCTGTAGCAGCAGAGCGCCTGCTAATGAGGGCTCCCCAGTGGAGTTACGGTAAACCTTCAGATGTGTCTTCAGCACAAACTTTAACGAATGTGTAATTTGATAATTTACTAAGGGTGTACGAGATACAAGCATGCCATATTCTTAGAAGCATTGCAGAATTGTTATAAACTGTCAAACCAATATTGGGCATTTTTAACAGAATGCGTCCATCCCTAACATTCCACGGTTTTCAATCTTCGCCGTTTTACACAGTGACTCAACAACGTTAACCGCACAGGATGAGCTGTACTGTACAGACAAGACTTTGGGGGTCCACTAGTTTTTGTTGTTTCGCCACAACAAGACCTTGCCAGAATGTATAGCTCCTCTGGCAGCCATTGGCCCATCTGACGGATAAAATTCTACACTGCCATTTTCTGCGGGAAAGTTTTTCGACGGTTGGGAAAAAACATGGCAGAAACAGAATTGTGTTAGGAAGGTTGCGGTACAGTACGGTGACGGTGACTGCAGTGAAGATCAAGTGGTGTCGCCTGACCTGGTCGTGAAGTTCCACGAATCAAGCACCAAATGCAAGGTTACGGTGCCATGCGTTTCGGTGCGTTTGGTGCGTTCGTGTGATTGGTGAGGTGCTTGACTTCCCACCACACCCCACGATGTTGTTTGGCGCCTTCCCCCCCACCGCAACGGACAAGGAGAATGCAACGAAACAGTTCCTCCTCGTCAGATTGCCTTGAAGCTGTCTTGTCGAGCAGGTTCACGTTCTCTCCATTCGGTGATTCTCCCCTCCACATTTCCATAGAAATAGTTCACACGCTACTAGTATGGCTTTCGTCAGCCACAAAGAGTCTCTTGGCTGCGTCACGTCACGCCTTGGAAACAACCATTCAATAGAAAAGCAGAGGGATCGTTGCTGTTCAATAGCTACATTCAATAGCTACATTTCTTCTCCAAGTGTTATAGAACTGGACGTGGCTGGTAGATTGGCCCGTTTCGTCAACGTTAGCAACGATGCGGAGCCAGCGGGTAGCAACCTCCGTCCTTCCGCGTCCGAGCGGACTCCCTGAGGACCTCGTATTCTTGCGAATCGTCGGCCAGGGTCGCCATGCGACAGTTTGGCTGTGCGAGAACGGTCGCACAGGCGAGCAGATTGCGTGCAAGAAGATTCTCAAATCGACGCTCAGAGCCTCTGGCGAAAAAATCGCCGAAGCTGGCGACAGCTCGCCTGCGACCAGCGCAGCTCGACTACAATCGTCGTATGACGACGTCCGTCGCGAGGTCGCTGTCGC